TCCTGCTGCTTGGGTCATCACCCAGCCTGGAGAAACCCAACAATAGGGGAAAAAAGAAGCAAGCAAACCTTGCAGTCCCGGGTAGGAATCGTTTTGGAGTTGTTACGATTGTTGAAGCTGTCGATGCAGTGCTGAAATTTCTTGCTTATCAGAGCTTCATCTTCCCAGCTGCACTCAGCATAGGGCAGCCCCATCCATTTACACAGGTATTCAGGGTCATTTGAGGATGTTTTGCGACTGTTTGCTGCAAAATATGCAAAAAAGCCCAAACCTCAGCAACTGTGGTTGTGCGGCTGAACCACAAGCATGGCTCACAGGGGCAGTCTGAACCACCCATACAACCACAAGACAGGTCTCAGCTAGTCACAAAAGTTTAGAAGGGCCAAATAAACGCTCCTTTACCTGGGAAATCCGAATGTCCCACTGCGGACTTGCTGGTCTTCACAGCTGTGTTTGGGGACAGAAGGGAAGGAAGGGTTTGCAGTGCTGGCAGACAGCAGAGGGAGCAGGGCAGGCAGGCTGGCACTGCCACACACCCCACGTGTTTTTATAGGAATTGGATCAAAATAGGTTCAACAGCTTTCCAAGCCCATTCCCAAAGCAACTGGAGCTGGCACCTCTGCCTGACATTATGGTGATATTACTGAAGAGCTCAGTAAGTCCTGTTTTTACTTTTAATAAGTAATCAAGAAAATCTAACCCCTGAGCTGCCATGCTCAACCATATCACAGAAAGCAGTCATCACTAAAGCCAGGTCTGTGCTGCTGCTTTCAATGCAAACACCTTGCATCCAAAGAGCTGAAGTCAAAGAACTTCAGCAGCAGCAACTTCAACATCCTCTTGGAAACTAGTGTATCATCCCATAGTGCAGGCAAGGAGACTGATTTGTATTGCTTGTAAATATTATTTTTTTTTCTCCAGAGTTACTGGAAGACAGGGAAAAAGAGAGCTGTACGCTCATTCTGCTGTGGCTAGAGATTACAGTTCCCACATCCTACTTGACCCTTTTACAAAAGTGTTGGGTTCACTTACCAATTACTCTCTCCACTATTTGATACTGTTTGTTCAGCTCTGAAGCTAGCTCTTGTTGGCAGTTGAAATATTCTACATCTTCAGGCGATACCTTTCCCAGCCTAGATGCAAAAAAATCCAAAACAAAAAACCACTATAATGCTGCTGTCATAACACTCATGAAGGTCACATATAGAAATTCTACTTTCCTATCTAGTTCTGTCATTCAGACAAGTCACTGAAGCAGATTGCTGCTTATATGACACATTTCTTAAAGCTTCCTATAATTATAAATCATTACTGAGAAGCAAACGTCATAGATGTTCATACTGTCTCCCTGTCAAATGACTCCTTACTCTGCTGCAAGAATCAGTCTCAAAACCACAATCAGATAGAGCTGCTGCTCTAGCTTTATCACTTTGGAAAGACACTGTAGCTCCCCTTATAGTTCCTTGGGAGGCTGGATATAAACTGATCCAAAAATTTGCATATAGACAAGCCCATAATTAGCAAGGGTTAATAAGGCTGCAAGTCCTCATGTCACCTGCCGGGCCAGCTGAATCTGTGCACCATTTATTTGTTATCATCTACCCCAATTCTTAAGCCTGGGGAGTGGCAATATTGCAGATTTCATGCCTCTTCCTCTCTCTCTCAACACTACAGGCACAGACGTCGTTTCTATGGGGGGGATGTTCATCAGAGAGATGTGAGTGTTGTGCAGCAAAAACAGTTGCTTTGTATGAAACATGCTTCGGAAAAACAAATCAAATGTTTTCAGTCATGACTCTGCAAAGCTCTGGCTAAAAAAGATTTGCCCAAGGCCAAATCACTGGTTGAAGTAAAGCATACCATTGATTGATCTCCTCCTCTTTTTTCTTGAAGTTTTCTAGCTTTTTCAGGCCCTTCACTTTCTGCTGCTGCAGGGACTCTTCACTCTCCCATGTGCTATGGATGTATGACCAGCCTTTCCATTTGATCAGGTACTGAACTTCTCCCTCCTCCTTTTCAGGATCAAAGTCAGCACTTGGGTTGCCATTGGCTTCAGTTGCATACACTGTGGTGGAAGCGCCAGTGGCTGCAAAAGAAATCAGGCTGTAGTCTGTACCTTTGTTACCAAGCACTGGACATGAATTGCATTAGAGCAGAAGGTTATTTTTCTAATACATCCTTTGTGACAGAAAAGGATATCCTACAGATTCTGCAACCCAGTAAGACAGGCACACAAAAGTTTTCCATACAACAGAATCTTTTAAAATCTCTCTTATCATAAATGCTTTTTCTTTAAGTATAATTCAAAGGTCTCTTGAAAATGTTCACGACCATTCAGTTTTACAAAAACACTTTTGAAAGGCTAAAAGAACAAAATATCAGCTTTATTTTCATTATGGCTTTGTCAATGGAGCTATGAAAACTGACTCTACTGGAAGATCTGTTTTATCTCTCAAAGAAGAGAAAAGCAAGAATTACAGTGACTGTGTCTTTAAAACGTGTGCATGCTAAATGACAGCTGCCAAGCCCATAAACTTGACATTTTAGGTTTTTCAATACTTCCTTTTACAAAAGCTGCTAGAAGACATAAATAAGAGGCATAGAGGAAAGGGTGAAGAGCACTGAAATGACCCTTGGCCCCACTTTGAAGTTGCAAAAGCCCAAGAGAAACTGTGAGTGCACATGATGATTGACATCAGAAATAAAGGCTTTTTCCAGAAGTACACACCTCCTTTTTTTCCAAGCCTGATGTCCAAGACTTTCTCAATAGTTTCACTGTTGTCTTGCTGTTCATCAGCTCCTTCCCCAGTCATCTCTATCAGGTCATCAGAGTCCGTCTCAAAATCATCATCTTCTTTGTAACTGAACAAGATCAAAACCAAACTGATAAAAAGCCCTTGACTCTTCCCAGTCCAGAAACACAAAGAATGGCATGGACTGGAGCAAGCCTTCTCCAGTATTTATCCTGGGGTTCAGTGCATGTTCAGCATGTGCATTTCTTAAGTTAGACATAACTTAAGTTAGCCATCAGTATTTTTCCCTGAGACACTCAGATAGCTACACTCTATCAGACTAATATTCTATCCCATCCATAGAGTTTTTCTGACCATAGCTGACACCAGATGCTTCATAAGGAGGTGAAACAATCCCTGCAGCAGAAGCAAGACCATCAACAACAGAGAAAGTCTCCTCTATCTGGTGAAAGATTATTTTATGTTTAACAATGGAGTCTGCAAAGCACTGAAAGGCTGCATGGGTGCCTTACACTGCCCTAGGAACTACACTTCTCATCTTTGATGAGCATTTAACCATCAAAAAAATATTCTTCAGGTGGCTCTCTGCAAGTCCTTTATTAGGACTGCCAAAATGTGAGAAAGTTTATTGGAGAAGGGATAATGCTTTACCTCCACCATGGCTCAATGCTCTGTCTCAAGGCATCACCTATCAGCCACTCTCAGGCAATCGATCTAATCCAGCAGAGCTCATTTTACTCATTTTAATCTATTATTTGTAAATCTTAATGTCATCTGAGAGTGCTTTAACATTATGCACACTCCCTCACATTTCTCTAAGAGGGAGAAACTGGTACATATTCGCTCTTTAACAGATGGCAGAACAAGGTAAAGATAAGTCAGATGTTCACAGCATGAACCTGTCGAAAGAACCAGATCTCAGCCGACGGATACCTCCAGGGCAGAGGAGGGTCTCTCTGCAGGATCACATAGGGGAGTCAAGGCTCTCTGGTGCCCCTCTTTCCCCACCCAGCCAGCTCTCATCATCAAGCAACCCCATACTTTTTTGTTACCTGACATTTTTAGCTGCTCTTCGTCGAGTTTGTCTCTTGGGGGTTTCATCATCTTCGTCATCATCGTCATCTTCCGATGAGTCCGGTCTCTTTCTCTTCTTCCCACGCTGGGGTTTGTGAGGCTTTTTAAGACTAGTTTTGGCCACCGTTCTAAAATAAGAATGAATAGAAAGCCATAATACAGCGTGTTTTGTGGAAACATCAATTTTAGTAAGTCTTTAAGAAATCATGAATCTCAAATATTAGACTCCCAGGGATTTAGTCTGCTCTAACTACCATGGAAACCACTGCATTGCTCACTGGAGCATGAAATGGGTAAACAAGAGAGTAACTAGGTCCTAGGTTTACTAGGGTGTAAATAAGGGTAATATTGCAGAAAAAAAAAGAAAAAAAAATTCTTTAGCGACAGAGATTACCTCCCACCCAGCACAAGCTGAAAAGACATATGCAGAAAAAGAGACAGACTGAACCAACCACTGCTTACCTCCTTTGGGCAGGTCTTCTTGCTTTAACTTTCTTGGGTTCAGGCTCACTCTCTCCACTAGTGCCTTGTTCTCCTCCATCTTCATCCTCATCTTCACCAGAGACCTCTCTTTTCCATTTATTTCTACGGTCAGAAACGGAGGTCACAAAGGGCAATCATGTTGCAACACAAAGACATCCGGATCACGTAGGTTAATACTAGCAGGCCATAATTACAAGAAAAAGCTCAAAGCTGCACTCTTGGTGGTTCAGTGCAATGCATGGGGGATTTTATGGCATGATTCTCTGCTTTTAGTCCCTAGGTTTTAGTTCACGTAGGGGCAGTATGTCTTGAGTGCGAGTGGCTCTTAACACACACTCCAATGGTGCTTGCAGCAGAACGGAACTTCTTATTACTGGGTGGGCAAGTGCTTCAATTTATTTACTTTTCATTTTCACTTCTGCATTTTTGAAATGAGCTGGAACGATCTTAAGAGGAGTGCTCGTTTCCACTTACAGAGTACGAGCCACAACATGCCCAGTTACGTGATCTCCTTGTAGCCCAGAAAATGAAGCAAGTCTGCCATCAAAATTCAGGCAATTAAAGTTTCCAAGTGTGAAGCCAAATCACACCATACCATCAGTGGAAGGAAACAGGTTCTCTGTGAGAAATTCCGAACAAAGCTGCAGCTCCAAAATACCCTTTGAAGGAGCCCCTCCTCTCTCCACGGGGGCGTAGGGAGTCCACAGGGATTATTCCCCTTGCCCAGGAGAGGTGCACACTACCACAGTCCTCCCTGCTCTTTATTACCTTCCCTCCTGTGTACAACTAAATTAAAAATTTTAAAAGACATGAAACAGGAGAAAAGGAGCTGGATCATGTGGCTGTGTTTAAGTTTTCTCCAGCAGGCAGACTGTAATTCCTTTCACTTCTCCTTAGTGTCTGGAAAAATGAAAAAGTACTTACTAGATGGAAAAGGGCAGTAAAATAGGACTGTAAGTGAACTCAGTTATCAGACATCCAAAATATCTTATATGGAAGGTCTTTTGTTTTATCAGAGGGTTATGAAAGATCAAAGAGGATAATAATTTGGCATTTTATTCTCCATTAATCAAAAAAGGGGGAGGAGTAGGGATTAAACTATTTTAATTATCTCTGAAGGAGAATAAGTAACCCAATGGAGAAGTGAAAGGCTGACGACAGAAAGTGAACCTGACTTGTTCAGATTCCATCACAGACCAAGTGGGAAAACAAACAAAAGAAAAGCTGGGAAATTGCATCCACCTGTAGATCCATATTCATACTTCAATTGTAGTCATCCAAAGCATTATTACTGGAAATATTAATTTTTTTTTTACAAGCTCTCCATGTTGACAATGCCCATCAAGTAATCCAATACTACTATTCTGAAAAATAACAAGACAAAGTACCACCATTCAAAATGCTTTCCCTAGAAACTTACCTTTTTTTCATTTGCTTCTGGCCTCTTCTTTTTGGGCTGTCATTTTCAGAATCACTACTTGCCTTTAATTGAAAAGAAAGAAAATCAGGTTGTAGGCTTCGCTCTGGACTGTCCCCTCAAGGACGCAACTGAAACGCATGCACGCGGTCCGAGCTCGGACACAGCTCAGCTGCTCTTTCACTGCAGTGCTGGAAGGATGCTTTGGTGCAACGGGGCTGCAAAAGAACAACCAGTTCCCCAGCAGCGCTCCCTCAGCTGCTGTGCTCTCAGCATGAAGATGGTAACCTGCAGAAAGGCTGGAGAGATCTACTGCAACATCTGTCCTCAAGTCCCTGACCTCAGGATGCGCAAGGCTGCGACCCACCTACCCCTCAGCATCAACCTCCGATACCCAGCAGATGCCATCCCAGTGGTGGCAGTGGCCAGGCAGACCCACAGGGTGGGCAATACCCCATGATTACAAAACCACAGGGTGAATTTAACCCACCAAACCTTGCACTGCCCAGGTGCTCGAGGCAAAACGTACCCAGAGAGAGAACACGGCTCAGCTGCTGCTGCCTCTGCTTATGGTGCAAGGTGAGCATCACTCCCATCTGATGCTCAAGAATCAGGCAGCAGTGTGACCTTGTGCTCTCTGGAGAACATTTTCAGGGCCTGTGGCAGTGCTAAGGCTCAGCTATTTCACCAGACTTTTAACTGAAAGTGTGGTGGCTGAATGTACTTTCCTGAGCACCTGTATTCAGGAATCCTGCAATATTTGGGGGCATTCAGGTTTAGTTTCTGTGATCGAAGAAACGTTTGCAGCCACACAAATGCATTATGACCTCTGCCTTCGTTAGAGAAACTTCCTATACAGAAGGAAATTCTTATAAAAAGACAATATTTTCATCACAAGAGTATCCTTGCTTTCCTGAGTCACTGATGACCTGTCTGGGTCAGAGTTGTGCCCGGCTGCTTTCCTTCCTCCTAATCCTCCAGTCTCCACCAGGGAAGTCTCTCCGGCTAAATATATCTAGAGATCTCTAACTACTTAATGTACTATTTTAAATGTGGGCGTCATTAACTCCTAGAGACCAAGATAGCTAAAAGAACCCAAACAAACAAAAAAAACCAAATAACTTCAGGCAGGTTGCACACAACCCCATTTTTGTAAAAACTAGTCAACCATAACAACAGATCACTGCACAAATAACGCCCCTCAACCAACAGATGACTTCACCTTATACACTTGCCCCAGAAAACACAAATGGGCAGGGAGACAACTGAAGAAACCAACGTGAGATTTCTAAAGGAGTATTAAAATGATAGAAGTAACCTCCAAGACTGCTTGCTCTAGACACCCCTCTGGACACAGCCAAAGTGTACACCAAGAGCTGTTTACATGAGAATTTCATGAAATGGTGTGAGCTGAGGCTCTGAAGAGCCATAGCCCATTCCTCTGCTTTCTTTCTACATCCTTTATTTCCATTTTCCATCTTCCTTTTCACTAACAGAAATTTCTTTCTTGTTGCCTGTGTATCCATTAACATACACCACACTAGATCACAAGCTTTGCTGAATTTCACTGTGTTTTGCTGTCAGATTTACATGTGACACAATCACACCTTTTGCACCGTATCTTACTATGAATGTGTGTTCATCTATCTGTTTCACAGCCCTGCATGAAACCCCCGTCTCATATACCAAGCATCCAGGAAGCAAGTGACAAGCAAAAACCACAGAGAGCCCTACCTACCCGTCAAACACAAGCTAAGCCTTCCACTGCTTTCAGTTTCGACACAGCAAAGTTTCAAAGTCCTCAATTTTCTTTTTCTCTTTTAATCTCTATCCACTTTCTGAAGCGTGCTGCTTTGCCATTCCAATTTTGGCATGTTTTTTTTTGAGAGCTGTCCCTCAATGCATGTTTACTTTTTGCTGTCTTTTGGCAAACTATAAGCAAAGAGAGGTGAATTTTTCTTCTGCTCTACATCAGAGAAGATCAGATTTGGAGAAAACCAAACATAACCTTTGTCTCTTTGAAACTAACTCCACTTCTTTGCCAAAATCTCATTTTTTCCAAGTTTCTAGTGTCCACTTTCCTAACGCTGCTACTCTGTCACCGTCTCTGCAGAACCACTGCTCATCTCTGAATGACTCGTCTTTTCTTCTCATCTTTCTGCCTTGAAAAATGTGACTTGTGACTACAAATCAGTCACCTTCAGTTATGTTTTTCAAAGACACCATTGTCTTTTTTGGATGCATGTCAAGCCCGGCTCTATCTCCTCTGACACAGCCAGTCCCCAGCCTGAGTCACCCGCCTGCCTTGTGCTCCCACGTCCTCCAGGAAACACCGAATGCCGGGAAGCGCCATGCCCACAGTCCCGCAGCCGCCCGCGACTCAGCCTCTCCTCCCAGCCCACGGCTCCTTCTCACCAACTCCTCCTGGCATCCTCACCCTGGGCTGCCAGGCTCCAGCTCTCGGCTGAAAGCTGCTTTCTACCATTTTATACATTATTAATAACATATTTTTTTTTTAAAGCATAAGGACATTTTAGCAACTTCTTAATTTTGCTTAAATCCACGTTTCAGGACCCAGCTGCAAAACTCTCTGCTGAATTGCTCAGGTCAGCCCAAGGGTGAGATTTGTACCTCTGCCCTGGACTCTGCAGCACAAACAGAGCCTGTGCTTGTAACATCCTGTTATCAGCATCAACCCACAGGCTCTGGTTGGTAGCAAATTCCTCCGTTAAGGAAGCACAGATGATAAGCAGAGAGCTGGGAGCACGCCAGGTCCCGTCTGCCCTCCCGCCTGCCACCTGCCCACATCAGGAAGCTGACTGTCTGGGAAATCACGTGCAACTTTGATTTTCATAACGTCACCTCCCTGAATGACACAACCTAAGCTGGCCAAATCCATCTCAAGTCCCCACCAGGGTTTTTGTCAGCCCAGCAAGAGATGCCGGCAGCACCCTGCTGGCTCTCAGAGCCCCAGTACCAGCGCTGGAAAAACTCTGCTGGGCTCAGGCTGCCCTTCTGGGTGCTGCTGAAAGACGTCTTGCCTTCTCCTCCCTACCAAATACTATAAACGTGCCCAACTCATTCCTGCATCACTACTTCCAACTGAGCTAGGAATTAGCCTCTTACAATCTGCTTCCCCCACCTCCAGCCAAAGGGATCAGCCTTCCCTATCCATCCTCACTGATGCCTCCCATCTAATTTATCCTTGCTCTCTCCCACACACTTTTACTAGATCAATTATGCTGTATTTTGCCATGGAGCAGTGCTGTACAAAACATAATGATGCTTCATACGTAGCACCAAGCAGAGCAACACAGTAGCAGCTTTAAAGTTCTGGTCCTACAGACTGTCCACAAATGTCCTCGCCACTAGCCCAGGGCAGGAGAGAGATTCAGGAGAGATGAAGACTTGCTTAAACAGAGTCAAGAAATATTTCAGATTGAAGTCAAAGTGAGGATTTGCTCATTTCAGGTTTAACAGAGGCCAAGCGCTAGCGCTCCAGACACGCTGGAGAATCCCAGCTCGCCAGTTTAGTTCTTCTTTGTCTGCTGAACTTCTCTCTCCCTGCAATACTGGTAGCATTTGAACTTTCAGAAAAGATGAGAGGCACAGCATGAATCAAAATGTAAATTAGCAAATTTTTTTTTTTTTCAATAATGAAACCATCTGTATTTTGGGAACACCTCTGGTGCATGACTTGTGGCCTCTCTCTCACAGCAAAGATGCATTGTGCCCTTTATTACTAACTCCAATCTCAAACCATCCTTTTTATAATCACAAGATTGTGTTTGTTTTGGGCACATTTATTTCTCGACTGCCCCAGAATACCCAGAAAGGCACCTGGCTCTGCATGTCTCACTTCCTCTGACTGAAACCTGAAGTTGATTTATTAACTGCAAAGAAAACTCATGGGCAAGTACTGTTTTTACTAAAAAACTCACATGTGCTCTTATTCCTGGAGACAGCTCTACCCCTCTGCGCAGCTCTTTACCCCTATGCAAAACTGCACTTTCGTTTCCCCATCTCTCAGCCCACGCCTGGGTATTGATCACCAGTTATCACCCTCTCTGATTGCAGCTCCCAGACCTACACAACCGCCTGGTGGCCTGTGGGCACTTCCCAGAAGGCAATCATTTCTAACACAGAAACAACCCTGCACAAACTGCTGGTCTCAGAGGACAGACTAATGATTGAACAGTGCTCCAAAAACCGAACAGCCTCCACCTACGCATGATCTCCCCCGAACAGGGTGAGTCACGGAGCAGCATGCGGTGCGATGGCTGATCCTTGTTTTGCGCTCTGAGCCTGCCACGCTGCTTTGCTAACACTGTAGAGAAGCATTAGGGAAGGGAAGAAGGACATTAAGAGCTCCTAGACACTGTGCTGGAAGTTCCAGGCAGCAAGCAACAAGAGCAGGTCACTGGCGACAGGATTAACCCTGTAAAGGTAAAAAGCAATCTTAAGAGATGTCAAGCACCTTGGGTTTCTGCCAGCTCTGGCAGCAGCAAGGAGTGCTCAGCACCACGCAGGCTCGAGCTACGCTATTTCCTCCCTCTTGGTGGTTAGGTCTTCCAAAAGCAAGGTTTTCCATCTCCTCCTGCTCTTTGCGAGGCCCCGGCAGCGTGCTCCTGACATGTCACACCCTCCATCGGACTCTGCTGCAGATGGGAGTTGCCCTACAGGGACCAGTCAGCGTTGCTTTAGGGAGAGAGGGGAATGAGGGTAGCCCAATTCTGTTAATTTTGGCTTTCCGTTTCACAAAGGTGGCAGTGGGGTCATTCGGAGGATTTTTTTTTTGTTTTTTACAATATTTTGTGGTATAGCAAAGTTTTTACATCTTGGATTTTTTTTTTAAACGTTATTGTACCTTAAGTAGTAGGAAATAAGGATATTGAAAAAGAAAACAACATTTGCAAAACCACGTAATATTGTAAAACAAAAAAAGACGGGACTTACCTGAGCCCCTAACAGGGCACTTGGGTCTGCAGCGGAGGTCTGGGGTGGGTGTGACATTGCCAGCACAGTGCATGCCAGGGCATCGCACAGAGAGGCGGCCAGCAAGCCTGGGCTTTGCCGAACTTGAAAAGGAAAACAAAAGCTAAGTCAATGACGTGCCCTAAGCCCCTTCCTAACCTGATGCTATGTGGGACATCCAGCACAGGAGTCT